GCTTAAAGATGCTGCTAAGAGGTGGTGGGGGAATGTTAAGCCGACGGATGGCTCCTTATTAACTTGGAAGGAATTCAAGAGGAGATTCTTTGCATATTACTTCCCTACCTTGTTCAGAGTTGAGAGAGAGGCAGAATTTCATATATTATAATAGGGGGTATGAATGAAGAAGAATTTATTGCAAGGTTTAATGAATTATCAAAGTATTCGAGATATCTAAGGAATCATGATGATGACCAGTAAAAGGCTGAGTAGTTGCTTGAGAAGATGCGACCTGATTACCATCAATAACTAACACCATTCAATATTATCTTATTAGTAGATATGTGTAGTGAGTTGAGAGCTGTGGCTAAATGGGATTGCGAGGTTGAAGATAGCCAGAAAAGAGATAGTCGGGGCCATTTCTCTACTTGTACAAGCCCTACTAAAGGAGTGAGTAAAAGAGTTGGATTTAGCTCTAGTAATCCTAAATTCAACAATAGTGGTAGTAAGAGGAAGAGCTTTTAAAAAGGTCCCAGTCGAAGGGGTCCCAGATGAGGAGTAATACCCCTAAGAGTATGGGAGGGTAGAGTTAAGCATCTAGGCAAGATTCTGGTGTGTCACCTTAGGGTTCGCCTGTTCTATTTGTTAAGAAAAAGGATGGTAACATTAAACTTTGTATAGACTACCAACAACTGAACAAGGTGACAATTAAAAATAAATATCCATTACCCTAAATTGATGACTTGTTAGGTTAGTTGGTTGGGGCAGCAGTATTCTCTAAGATTGACTTGAGATCCGGCTATCACTAGTTGACAGTAAAAATGAATGATGTGCCAAAGACTGCTTTCAGAACAAGGTATAGACATTATGAGTTTCTTGTTATGCCTTTCGATTTGACCAATGCACCAACGATCTTCATGGATTACATGAACATAATCTTCAAACCCTACTTAAATAAATTTGTAGTAGTCTTCATAGATGATATCCTAATTTATTCTATGGATAAGGAAGAGCATGCAAAACACTTGAGAATTATGTTACAGATTTATTCTATGGATGAGGAGGAGCATGCAAAACACTTGAAGATTGTGTTACAGATTGTGATATCCTAATTTATTTTATGGATAAGGAGGAGTATGCAAATCATGGGTTTTTGCATTTTATGTTGTAGCATAAAATTTTATGCTGTAATGTATTATGTTAAAATCACTATTGTTGTTCTTTTAACCCTAATTAGATATTATCTTACCTTATATGATGTCCATGCTTCTATATATATGTTTTGTTTTCATTTTAATTTATGAAACGATTTTATAGCATTTTAAGTTTTGAAAACTTGGGATCCCATTCTTGTAAATTTTTACAAACTTGGTAATTTACTTTGATTAGTCTTATAATTACCTCGATTATAGAGTTAATTATAGATTAGTAAGGAAGACCTAACATGTCATACTCCTAAGTTAGCTTCCTTGTTAAACTAGTAAAAACTAGTTAGATTTGAGTTATTTGTTAAATAAATGGAACAGTCTCTTGTAGAATAAGTAGGACAATAGAAATATAAAAAGCAAGCCTTTGAGCTCCAAATGGCGCTCATGCCACATGGATTTCAAATCTCTATTCCTCTCTTTAGGCGAACTCCTGTCATAAATGATCATTCAATGCAAAAATGCTTAACTCATAGCATGCATTTAATCATCATAACTAGCATGCAATATATCATCATCATTTTCATCATAACACAATCATCATATACTTCTCACGCCACAACTTAGCACATAACTCCACACTTACTCACAATTTTCTTCACATAACTTCCTAAATCACAATCAATTAAGATTACTCATTCGAGACATGAAATAAAGAACAAGTTTTTCTTTAATTAATCTACATGACAACAATCATTCCATTTGCATATTCACACACATATTTATCTTTTTAACATATCATAATTCATAATATTTGATTTTTGAATATTTCACACCACACTTGCATAACAATGATTTCACATATTTCAACAATAGGTCATAAAACCAAATAACTAATTAACACATAAAAGTAAAAGTAAGATTTTCCTCCTATTACCTTAAACTTTTAAGAGGTCAAAGGTTTACCCCTTAAAACAAATTAATTCAAAAGCTATTCCAAGCTTGAATGGTGCTAAGAATGATTAATCTATAATTAATCATACTAATAATCATTAATATCCTCATTAGGACAAATTTCAACTCTCTATCTCAACACTTCCACAAGTTAAAACTTTAATATCCCATATATAAGCCTACCCATATGGTTTATTAACTTCTTTTAATTCTTATTAATTTCATTGAACTCTCAACCTATCATTAACAGCATTAGAAGCTTTCCCAACCATCATATTTATTATGGATTTTGGGACATTAATGTCCGTCAACCACCAAAAACGCATTAACTCACTTGTGCAAAGTTTAAACAACTTAAACAATTCTCATTAACTCTATTTAAATTAATGAATTTGGACCCATAGCCTTACAACTCTGAAAATCACTTCCTCAACCCATACCCTTTATGGTTGTAAGCTCAAACATACTCCCAAAGCTTCAAGTATACTATGCCCTAGTAGTGCTCTTGAGTTCCTCTTCATTCTCTCCTTTTCTTTGTTTTATTTTTAAATTGATGTGTACTCTAATTTGTTAGAGATTTTGGCCATGTGCAGTGGCACATGTAGTTCATGTCACATCATGTGTACAAAGAGCTCAGCCTCACATTTTGGGACCCATATGCCATAGTGCATGCCACACGTGTTGCAGCATGTGGTACGTATAACTTCCTTCATGTGTTTGTGAACCATGCACCACGACAATTATTGCATGTGCTACTATGCATAATGCAGAACTAGCACTTCATGTTTTCTTCCCCTCTTAGGGCCCCAATTCCACCTTGAACTTAATCTTTGGGTTGTAATCACAACCAAATAGACTAGTTGGTGCTCTATAATTATCCATACGCCAATTACCTTATTAATTTATTTAATTACCCTTAATTAGTCTCATTAAATAGAAGGTTAATTTTCATGAAGTTATATTCCTCCCCTCCTCTTCTTTGCTTTGCCTTCCTTTCCTTAGAAATGAACCCACACTTAAGCTCATGCCTCCTCTTCTTTGCTCTACCTTCCTTTCCTAAAAAAAAAATGAACCCACACTAAAGCTCATGCCTTTTACAGTCTTGTTCATTCAACATCAAGCCATTATTGGTTTACCTTAAGCTTTATCCATGAGAGTTTTGAAGAGCTTGGCGATAAGGTTAACAATGGCCAGGTTGAGCTTGAAGCCACCATCAATAATGGTGATGGTGTCTAGTGAGCCGCCATCTCCTATAGTTGATCAGGGTGAAATGAGTGAGATTTTTGGCATGACAGAGCTAGGCAATAGGATTAACAATGGCCAAGCTGAGCTTGAAGCCACCATCAACAATAGCGATGGTGTCCGGCAAGACGTCATCCATGCACTCTTATGGTTGATCATAGTGCAATGAGTGAGATTTTTAGGCATGGCTTCACATTTTCTATTTCACATCTAAACTGGCTTCCTTGTCTTCTCTCTTCCTCTTCATCTCACTTGCTTTGAAATGATGTTACCGACAGGCTTTCTTTTTCAAATCATTTTGATAAATGAATTCTATGAAAAATTAAATGGGAAGACACCTACTCTATAAGGGACCAAAATGGGGTTTAAAAAATAGTAAAATAATTTGAATAATGGATGACCATAATCACGAATGATACCAGGCTCAAGAAAAACAATATAAATCAAAGTTTTGAATAATGGATGACCAGAATCACTACTTGAACTGTTAGGACCATATAACTTGTGCTGTGTTTCAAGTGGATTGAATGATGTGTGTGCCTCCTTGTTTGCCTCTTTGCTTTTGATGTCTCCAACAATCGCTGTTCTGGTTCGATTCCAAATTTTTCCTATATATTTTTCTCAAGAAAATCTCAAAAAAATTGAATTCATACAAAAACACAAAAACCCAAAGATGAGACCCTACTCCATTCGATTTCAAGAGATATCACGGCCAAAATATGGAAAACCAGAGACTTCACACTAATCTTTGCGAATTTTGGTGAATTAGATTTGGTCAAAGGGGGGAAAATAAAGGCCAGGCAACGTAACGAGAGAAAGATGAGCAGATTCACAAGGGTGGAAACTGAGGAGGAAGAAGGTTCAAAATGAAGGTATGGGAAGAAGAATGAAGAAGTGCTCGCCAAGAGGAAGAAGACTAAACACATGTCAATGCTTGAAAATTCTTTGGCTTAGCTAGCATTGACGTGTTGGCACACTTGATCAGATTAACACCATTCAACTCTTTTTGTTAACTTAGGACAACATTGTAGTCTTCAAATATTTTAAGATACCAATTGTATTTTTTTAAAAATATCCAAACAAATTTATACTTTAGCCCATTTACAAAATATGAATGAATCTTTTCTTTTGGGATAAAATATGAAAGAATCATTATGTGTCATATACATGCACATCCATTTATAATAAATCACATGATTCATGAATATAATAAGTAGATCAAAATAAGTCAAATATACATTGGACAATGTATGCGGGTCATAAAAACATATTGGACTATGTAGAAAGACAAATTATGCTAATAAAATTTAATTCAACTCCTTAGGATTTATCTATAATCTACATGATCTAGCATTTTAAATTTCATTAACAATGTAAGGAACTTAATATTATATATAAATAGTTTTATAACTATTTTTGAATTATGTAAATATCTTGATGAATTGATGGCTCAACTCACATAAAATTTCAGGAGGCAAATTATATAAGTTTATTTTCTCCAATGAGTCACTTTTAATTTAAAAGGAATTAATTGTTTTTTATATCATTATTCGACTTATTTAGATTTAAAATTTAATTGATTAATACATTGACACAAATTCAAATTGCAAAGCTCGGCTTTAAAGTGCGCTGTTGGCATTTTCTATTTCTTCTTTATGCCCATGTTCTGTTCTATTTCATTCACATGAACGAATCTTTAAAGCCCCGAATTTTGGCGCCGCGGCACCAGTAATATGTGTCAGGAGGAGGAGCCCAGGGGCGAAAGTGATCCCCTAAGGCCTAAACCCTTAGACAAAACCCTAGCTCGAGCCAGGTAGGCGAAGCGAAATGATATTGCTCGAGCCGGAATTTGTAACGTTTTATATTATCCCTGTGAAAAATCGACACACAAAGGAAAATCTCTTAAATGACTAAAATCCCTTCCCTCGCTCAGGCAAGTCAGCTCGATCACCCCACACTTTTTTTAATCTCTTCGCACTATCAACTGTTTTTGGCCAAAAACAACCTTTTGTATTATGATCTTCTGTTTTCTTCGTTGTTTGCGATCACAAAGCTTGCAGCTTCATATTTGTAATTCTGATGTACTTACTTTATAGTTTATATGCTAACAAGATAGAATGTAATTTGAATCGCTTCCGCAGAAGAATCACGGAAGTGAAAGAGGGGGCCGTGGGGTGTTCGGAGACGTCTACGTAATGCTTCCCCAAGAGATGGACATTGAGAAAGCGGATAAATTTGATCTTCGATTTCAACTGCCTGACCTCAGGCACGCACTCAGAGTGAGTCCTTTTTTTCCTGCTAATTTATATTGAACATAAAGCTTCATTTTTTCTCAAATTAAAAAAGAAAAAAAAAAGGTTTGGTGCCTGGAAATCCTAAAGGTGGTAAAACAGCGTCTAATATAAAAGGTAGCTGGGTATTGAAAGGGGAGGTTGAAAGCATTTTTTGCAGGAGATTCCAAGTCGATATTTATATTTGTACTGTTTTTGTTTATGGTAGGATGGGGGATGGCGGGTTTGGAGCAAAGAAGTAACTTTAGCTTTGTGCTTCACCCTGTTTTCCTCTAGATCCAGGAGTTTCATCGCTATGAATTTTTCTATTTATTTTTGCCTTTTTATGTTTGTCTAATTTCAGAATTCTAATTAATGGACCAGTTATCTACAGTGGATTGTTTGAGTTCAATAGAAATATGAAAGGACCCATTTGTGGGCACGTAACTCAATTCCGTTTCAATTGTACTGAGTACATTACATTCAAAACATCAATGTGGGCCTCTTACATTAGTAGTTGGCTTGTAGGTCAATATGTCTTAGAAGATATTGTTACATCTTTGCTTTCACTCGCCCACTTTTTTCGTTGGATCGTTTCCCATATGTGCATGGTTTTATGTATCTCTTGTAACTGGACTGTTTATCTCACCATGGTATTGTGATTGAGAATTCAACACATTCCATTCCACAGGATCAAGCTAGTATTCTTCTTAGCATCACTTTGCCCCTCTCAGTCCCTACTGAGATAACTCTCCCTGTTTAAGTGAGCGTGCAGTTTTGCTTCACCATGAATCATTCTCTGGTGCTGGGGTGGGCTGATAGTGGCTATCTTCTTCTTTTACCAGATTTTTTTATTGTATTTTAAATATAAATAAATAAATATTTAAAAATGATACATAGCCTTGGCCTAAAAAAGAATCTTGTATGCTTCTTAGAAGTCCCTGATATGAATGTCATGCTAATGTAAATATTATATTAACATTGGCAATGACTTTCATATCCCTAATTCTTGTGCATGTGTTCATAAGATGATAAATTTAAGCTAGAGGAAAATGAAAAAAAATAGAAAGGTACATGAGCTAGAGATTACATACAGGTTGAAAGTACAAAAATAAACCGCCTATCTACCAGAGCACTACAGAAGCATATAAAGGAGAATTTTAGTAAAAGAAAAAATGAACTAAACTTTAGGACAACCTTTTTGTTTTAGGGGAGTTTTGTATATACTTTGGAAAGATATGTCTGTCTGATTTTAACAACACTCAGGGCAAGTCTCACTCCTTAATTTATTGATAATTAGAGTTTGGCTTCTTCCCCCCCCCCTGGGAAATACAGGGCCATGGCAAAGCCGTACTGGAGAAAACAAGGCTAGGTTAGATCAGGCACTAAAAGATCCCTGCTCTCTAAGGGTGGGTCATTAGGAATCCTAGTATCAAAATCTCCATGATTTGCATGATGAGCTAGTTAATTTGCGCCGCTATTTGCTTCTTTGAAGACATAATCATAGGTGATGATCTAGTTCTTCATAGTAAGGTCTTTGATCTTCTTGATGTGGTTGATGAGAGGGTGACTCTGCAAGTGGTCATTTTGGATGAGAGAGAGGGCCTCAATAGAGTTGCAGTAGACATTAACTTTGCTAAACGTTTCTTTCCAACATAGGGTGAGACCTTAAAGAATACCCAGAATTTCAGCTGCTGTGCCTCGATAGATTTTGGCTGTTTTATAATTTGGTTTTTGTCACGTGTACTGTGCTAGAGAAATCAGAATATATTTTTGCTGGGTTTTAGTTATATGGTGCATGAGTAAATTAGCACTGAAATAGAAGGATGGAAGGCTTGTTCTGACCATTGTCATAAAAATCAGCTGATCAGAAATGAGCGTAAGCTAGGAGGTGACTGGCTGTCAATACTTAGTGGGTTGAATAAGGCTGGAATCCAGCTACTGATTTGCTTTGAAAGTGTGTTGCTACTGGTTAGTTGCAGGGAACATAATGCCAGAGCCATGATAGGGTAGTGGCAATATTGTAGATCATGATTGTAATGGGAATGCTGGTGTTTGAGAAGGCTGAGTTTCATGAGTGCCTTTTGATTTGTTACTTTCCATTGAACCAACAAATATGACAAATAGAGAGAAGGGTAGTGGCAATATTGTAGATCATGATTGTAATGGGAATGCTGGTGTTTGAGAAGGCTGAGTTTCATGAGTGCCTTTTGATTTGTTACTTTCCATTGAACCAACAAATATGACAAATAGAGAGAAAATTTTCAATTTTTCTTTGACCAGACTATTTGGGCTTTGTTGCATCATGATTATATTTGTTTAGGTGCTTATTTCATGGAACTGTTGCTTTCACTCCTCATGAAGACATGGCTTTTCCATGATTCAGGACTTTTTTGGGACTAGAGAGGTTGGTGAGTTTGTAAGTGGAGCGTTAGCAGGGGCTATGACTAAAGCTGTACTTGCTCCTCTTGAGACAGTCAGGTTGGATACGTTTTTTTAGTTTTATACTTTTGTTCCAAATGCTCATCTACGTTATAAAGTCTGTTTTTGACATGCTCACGTGTAGACATGCTCTGAGGTGTGTTTCTCAACTTATGATACCATTTTTTTTTTAACAAAAAGCATAAAAGTGAGCAAAAATCTGAAAATGTTGAATCAAGCTTTGCTCGTTTAAGGGAGGATTAGTGCCTTAATTATTTGAAATATCATTGTAGTGATTTAGAAATTTAAAGAGAAACATTTAACTATAAAGAAGAAAAAGAAAATTACCACTTTTTGTTGAGTCTTAAGTGAAATTTGACTGCATGCTGTGAGGTCTTCAGCATTTTTTGGTTCAAGTTCCCTTGTGAAATAAAAAGTTCCGCTTGCATTTACCAAGTAATAGCTAGCTAGCATGTGAAAATTAATTATCTACACAATTTGATGCTACTGCCAAGCTCCTAATCTGTACCTTATACAGAACAAGAATGGTGGTTGGTGTTGGGTCGAAAAGCATCATTGGAAGTTTCATTGAGGTAATAGATCAGCAGGGTTGGCAGGGGCTATGGGCTGGGAATGCTATCAATATGCTCCGTATAATCCCTACGCAAGCAATTGAGTTTGGCACATTTGAATGTGTAAAACGATCAATGACTTCATTGCAAGACAAATGGAAACAGAATCAATGTCCTAAGTTGCAGATAGGTTGCATCAATTTGAACTTTTCTATGTGTTGGATTTCTCCAGTTGCTGTGGCTGGTGCAGCTGCTGGAATCATGAGCACCCTTGTGTGCCATCCCTTGGAAGTGTTGAAGGTATTTGTACTTTTGGAATTATATTATACAGTAGATGTATTGAAATCTAATGGCATCTAAAATGTGTCACAATTCCATGATGACACCACAATCTATGTGATTATATTGTTAATTGAGTTCGCAATGACCAAGACTTGAAAATATTTAAGCCCTGCATTCATATCTGTTACTTTTGCTCCCAATCCTGATTGTGGTTTGATTTCTTACAGGATAGATTGACAGTAAGTCCTGAGACCTACCCTAATTTAGGACTTGCAGTTAGCAAAATTTATAAAGATGGTGGCATAGGTGCTTTTTATTCTGGCATTTCACCTACATTAATTGGCATGCTTCCGTACAGTACATGTTATTATTTCATGTATGAGACCATGAAGCAATCTTACTGCCAGACCAAAAATAAGAAGTCGCTAAACCGGCCAGAGATGCTTCTAGTTGGAGCTCTAGCAGGTAAAAGATTCAGTTGTAATTGCTGGACATCATACTATGGTCTATTTCCCTTTCTCTCCCTTGCTCAATCTCGATTCTTACATGCCCCCAGTTGCAACCAACTAAGGGACGATATCACAATATTTTTGATATAGGAGTTGGCTATTTGCTGTTTGATTGTCATCCTCCTTAGACCAAACAGACAGATGAGTGAGGGAGGGAGGAACCATGTGTCAATTGTTGGGTATAGGCAAATATCTAGTTCTCTGTCTATATATATCTGATGGCTCTACATCATATACTTAGTATAACTAGAATCTTCTACACCTGCATTAACTGCACAGTTCTGGGGAAAATATTTATATTGAGTTGAATTTCAATTATGCTTCAAAACAATAAGACACCGCCCGATACAAGGCAACAAAATTCCTTTTTTTTTTTTTTTGGACAAACTACAAGGCAACAGCATTATTATCGAGCCAAATACTTTAAATTAGATCCCTACAGAATTTATATATTATAACTTGTAAGATAAGATTGGATAGATATTCAATTAGATTATTACATTTACTTCATCAAGTTCCCGCTAAAACATGTCAAGTGATGCTGCTTATTTAAATTTTACGTCTGTATCTGGTGAGACTTGATTGTTTTTTAGTTGGCAACATTAATGATTGTTCTGATTAAGCTCTTCGTGCATGCTAGGTTTTACTGCAAGCACTATCAGCTTCCCCCTGGAGGTGGCCAGAAAACGCCTTATGGTAGGAGCTTTGCAGGGTAAGTGCCCACCACACATGGCTGCAGCGCTTGCAGAAGTCGTTCGAGAAGAGGGTCTGTTGGGGCTCTACAGAGGATGGGGTGCAAGCTGTTTGAAGGTTATGCCATCCTCTGGCATCACCTGGATGTTCTATGAAGCTTGGAAGGACATATTGCTTGTCCACAAGACTCATACTTTATAACTTAACAAGAATTGGATCATTGTTTTTGTGATAGTTGCCAGCTAGCTGGTTCTTGAGGTTTTCTAACCCTTTGCTATGGAATGGAAGTTTAGGAAAAGGTTCCAGAGCGGGGGAAAAAATTTCAATTGATAAAATGTAATTCAAGTGTGGTGGGTGAGAATGGGTTTTCCCACACTTCAATATCCAGATATACAATTTGAATATTTTTTTTCATTTATTGTTTTACTAATCACTGCTTTTACTTCTTAATAGAGTAGAAACTTTCCCTCCTCTCAACCAAACTTATTGATAAATATGCGGCTCAACTCTTGCAAACACGCCTGAAACTAATTCTGACTTGAGCTTAGGCCGCAATATTTCATTACATGCTTCCCCTTTCTCCTACTAAACTTTCGCTCGTATGAGATCAAAGAATGCTTAATTTTCACGTGACTTGAGTGGAAGCTTCAAAGGTGTTGTGCACTTGAGCATTTGTCTTTTTTTCAGAGCTTAATATCGGCAGGCTGCAGACACGACACTGTTATTGACATTCTTTGTTAAATTAGAAAAACATAACTTATTTCCTAGTTTTTTTTAATTATTGATTCGGTTTTTCTTAACTCAACAATTTATCCCTGATAATATTTTAATCTGGTATGCTTAACCCTTATAATTTCTTAATTTGATAAATTATCAAAACGGAATTGTACTAACTTAAAGTTTGAGAATTCAATTAATAATTTAGGAAAATTTTAGAGACTAAAAATTAAGTTACCCCTCTACAACATCAGAATCCGAATCAATCAAAACCTTCAATGATTCAATTTTAGCGGCCGTACACTTGAAGCCGTGCCATAATCATGTGCCTCTTACTGTACCGAGTTTAAAATCAATTAATGAGGCATAGATGTGAGGGAAGTAGCTGAGAATAGAACCGAGCATAGAAAATGAAGGAACAATCCAAACCCTCTGTATATGAATGCGAAGATTAAAATAGTATTTGCTACAATAACAAATGTTTCACAATAACTCGTCTATTTCCACTTCTGATTTCTATGACAAAAGGACTGCCGTTGATGTCAAGTGCCCTGCGTGGGCTTTATGAACAGTTTCCTCAACAGCATAACCATCCTCTCTTACCCTTGTAATTTACAAAACCACTCTCAATAAATTATTTGATTGGTGATTGGCTAACTTTCAATGTATACATACATGAAATAAAATCTTGAACTACAAGTCAAGTGCGAAACTGCTAATAAGCTACATTGTGTCTTGTTCTCCACCGGGGTCGTTTCTTTTTCCCAAGAACCAGGCCACAAATGAGCTGATAGAATGAGAGCACTCCATGAACATATAAAGACAAAATAAGCATAGTCCTGTGCCAATAAAGGACATAAATCTCCGCTAAATCATAAATCAAATCTACAATTTGTGGGAAAAAGATTTATTCTCTGTAAAAAGAATAAAATAACAGTAGATCACAAATTTTCCTCCCTTACAAAGGTTCCAGGCCTTTTGTACCATTCCAATTTTTCTGACACTCCCTTTTGATGACTTGGAATTCAAACTTAACATCATATCAATTTATTATATTTCGGCTAAGGCTTCTTGAGATATAATTTTTAATTGCCTCTAGTTCTTAATCTCTATCAAAAAATATACAGCCAATAAAATTTGCAACTATACAACAAGATAGCCAAGGTTGACACCAAACAGCTAGAGACTAGAAAAGCAGGAATCAAAATCATTACATTACTTCAGGACTAGCTCAAAAGAATGAACAAGAAAATGCTTTGCCTAAGTATTCTTAATATTTTACACATGCATGTGTATTAAAAAAAAAAAAAACTGCAAGAAAAGCCAAAAACCAGTTCACTGCTTCTATGATTTTTTTTTTTTTAATCACACATAATTTTGCTCATTATAGCATCAACATGAGAAATGGCTATTGAGTTTACCTACCAGCATAGGCAACAGTAGCACCCAGAGCCAATCTTCCCAGAGCAGACAATACATAAAGGCACAAAATCACCTGAAATAAGATGTACATAAACCATTAGTTCTTTACATCACTCTCTGTCAAAAGCAAAATCAAAGACATGGCAACTACTATGGGATCGTAACTGTCTAGAATGAGACCGTGCTTTCTGGAATCAAAGCACACAAATAGTCCAATACTTTCAGAGAAAGGGAAGCCCAACAGGTTGAATGTTGGCATAGGACGTTAACAGATTGTGAATTAATGGAGAACATATAAAAAAACAGAAGGCATTCAAGATAAGGAAAAGATGCATAAATTCCGAAATCAATGCCATTCTCTCAGATGCAATGGTGAGTTGACCACCTCCCAATCTTCTCAAAGAGAAGACACACCCATAACCGTAGAGCAACGTGTACCCATAATGTCTCATATTTTCATCTACTAAAAAACTTACAATTCAACTTATCCATAGTTTCAAACCTCAGTAGAACTTGAATTAAAATAGGTCATGGTCATGTGTTTCTCTTATTCATATACAAACATTAACCAAAGACTCACGGGACATAAAACGGCGAAAAACCCACAATTTCTTGAGGTCGTACTGATGTTTATCACTAAACCGAAAATAGATTTAAGTTGCATAAATTAAATAGTACCTTCAGAAATAGTCTCTTGTCATGCCCTGTTGCTGCAACTCTAAATACAGACTCAGCTGCACCTATGGTATTAACTAACCACGCAACAATGCCATTAGCAGTGTCCTGAGTTATTTGCCATTCGAGTGGATCAACTGGAACCCTATAACGGTTTTTCAGAAGGGGGTTAGGTGCATCAGATATGTTGATAATAAGAAGGCCATTTGCAAATGAAAAATACAAATCTTCCAACCGCATCAAAGCCTAAATTTTGAGGAAAAAGAACACATGCACAACACAAATTATACTAGCAACCCACTTCTAATGGAGTCAAAACGATACATCAGATGTCCAAGTCCAAGACGTCAACGAAGGATATCAATTTAATTTTCTAGAATTCCAAAGTCAAAGGACCAAATAATTTCAAGGGCTAAAACTAGATTGCATCCAAGCATCGTTATATACACAGAAACGCAAATATGACAAGAAACAAACCCTGATTGGATGGTTTAATTTGACAAATTAAACGACAAGAAGAAAGATGAAGAAAAAGAAAGGAACTTAGAGGATTACGATATGTTCAGTTGACGGAAGAGAAGGCCGAGAATGGCAAGGGAACAGAGGAGAACGATGAAGACATCGGAGACCAAAGAAACAATGCTAGAATTCCGGTAAGCACAGTGATAGTAGACCAGAGTGCCGCATAAAAGAAGCATCATCGGCTTCCCTACTTCGCCTCTTGTGCACTCCATTATTCTTGCGACCAGAACACTTATCTCCCTCGTAGCATGTCCCCGCAGAGGCAACTGGAAATCGGCGAATGTACCTTCCCCGCAGGTCTTTCTTTGGACTCCTTGTTCTATTTTCATTTATTCGAAATTATAAAATACTTTAAACTAATATTCACCCAGCGGGCATCAGCAGCTACTGGGCTCCAAAATTTGTGCGAGTTTGATTGTTAAGTTGTGAAAAGTCAATTTATTAAAACTTTATTTAACAAAAATAAATTCAACAAAATCAGTTATTATAATAAAATTTATATTTAAATGTATTTTTTAAAAAAATTAATTTAATAAATGAAAGTTATTTAAATTATGATAGTGAAATATACTTTTAAATATATAATTAATAAGATTGATTTATGATAATTTATAATTTTTATTATACAAATATAATATATTTAAAATATTTAAAAAATATAATAAAAATTTTAAATAACATAAAATTTGATTTATAATACTAAAAACTTGATATTTAATTATTTGTATTTTTGCAATTTATAATTTTAAAAAATATGATAAAGATTTATAATATTTATTATACATTAATGTTAAAAATTAACATGATTAATTATTCAATATAGAATGTTAAAAACTTAATATCTAATTATTATTTAAATGATAATTATATTTTTCATGGATTAACTAGTTTTTAAATTAAAAAATAAAAGATTAAACTTGAAATAACATAATCAAATAATACCTTATTTTTTAAATTCACTTTTCAAAAGCTACATCGCTTATTGGCCAAAAGCACATTTAACCACATTTAGAAATGAATTTTTAATTAATTTTTTGAAAAAGATTGAAAACCAACCAATATTTAAATTCAAAATTCATTTCAAAAGTGCTTTTGGAGCTGTTAACTAAAAAACAAACAAACCCTTTATAGGTAGAATATCATTCCCAACATATAAAATATTTAATATCAATCAAAGATGAAATAATTCTAAAATATGATTACATGATAAAAAATTGAATTAAAAATAATTTCATATAGGAAAAGATTATATACTTTTGCCTGTTTTTTAATTGACTAGTAAATATTCATTAATTTATAAGTATTTATTTATATTTAATAAAAGTCATTCGTTAATTAACAAGTTCAAGAAGTTAAAAGAATTTAGTTGTGAGAAAGAATAAGGTATATCATATTTTAATAAGTAATTATTTATTAATTAACGAGTATTAATTTACATTTAATAAAAAGTCATTTGCTAATTCATAAGTTTAAGAATCTGAAAGAATTGGTTATAAAGGGGACAAGTGTAAATATTAGAGAGAATTATTACATGAATCTTGGAGAGGATGGTAGAATTTTATTTCTTCTTATTCTTTTAGCTGTAATAGTATTTATTTTTTGATTTGAATTATTTTTAGTTGTCACTGAATTCAAAAAAAAAAATTTAACAAGTATTCATTTTCATCTAACAAGAAATCATTTGCTAGTTGGCAAGTTTTAAAAAAGAAAAAGAGAAGATTGGTATTACAATATTTTTTCATCTAAAATTATTTTTAAATTAGTCTCCTGATCTTGTAATGGTATTTCATAATTTTTAAACCCTTGTTTGATATTAATTTATTTTAGTAATCCTTAATTGATATTTTTCCAAAATTATATGCCATATAATTTTTTAGAAGACCAATATAATTTTTTATATTTATTTTTATTTAATTTAAAAAATTATATAATTAACCTTTTTATATTTAATATACTTATTTTCAATTAAATTAATGCATGTATATCTTTCATAGATTATTTCTTATATAAAAATTTTTATTATTAATATTATTAACACATTAAAGTCCAAATAACTTAATTTAATTAGATAGAAATATATTAGGTAATTAAGGCTAATTACATAGGTTTTATCCTATTTAATTGCATTGTCTTAATCAGAAAAAACTTTGTTAATTACATCACCAATTAAGGATATTTAAAAAAACATTATTAATTACTCCCTCCATAAAAAAAATATAAGATACTTTTTAAAGAATCATATGTTAAAAAATATAAGACATTTTGAATCTTTTAAAATGTAATTATTATCTTTTTTTAAAAAAATATTTCTATTAAATAAATTATTTTATAATATTTTTCAGGTGAAACATTCTATTAAATAAAAATAAATATGAAAAGATAAGATTAATTTAAAGATAAATAATTATTTTATTAAAATAAAATTTAATTAAAAATATTTTATATTTTTAAATAAAAAATGTAATATAATAATTTAATGAGTAGTCTTGAGTTCCAGCCCTATTAACGCATAGTGTTAAAATTGGATGTAGAGCCTTTTGCCTAGAAGGTTCTACGATAGTTGACTTGAATTCGCGAGACTCCATTAAGTTCACTCAACTTTTTATAGGGTAGGCTCCTAGGTGTGCAATCAATCAGGGGGAAAAGATTCATTGATCACACTCCAGCTAAGGACATTTTTGGAAAACTCTGCGGGCAAAATTTCTTTTAGTTAGATTTTTTTTGGTTTATAAAACTAGTATTAACTTACATATGATAATACATAAGCCGTTACATGTCTTTTGCAAATATGACATGATAATTTTTTCGTAAAAGAAATAAAAACAGAGGAGTCTGTAATAAAAATATAAAAGATTAAGAAGATTAATTTTAAATTTTTAGAGAAAAAGAATTTTTTGTAACTGCCTTCAAGGGACAGAAGAGATTTTTTTAATATTTTAACCTATATTTAATTGATCTTATTGTGTAAGCCTACTTTGAACAATTCATGTAGAAAAAATAAATAACTGATGTATGAAAAATAAATAATTGATGCAAGAAAAATTTGCAAAGCTCATTAAAGCTATAAACAAGAGATGTTAGATGCATAAACAATTCATTTAGAAAAAATGAATAATCGATGTATGAAAAATAAACAATTGATGTAAGGGAATTTTCAATTTTTACTAACAACATAACACTACTATAAATATAAATAAATGAAGCTATGCACATAAATAACTCATGTAGAAAAAATGAACAAGTGTTATATGAAAAATAAATAACTGATATATGAGATTAGGATTATTTGTGTAATTTCTCTCGAAAACTAGATTTCAATTTAGTTGAAGTAAACTCATAGGGACTAAATTAATATTTCATAATTTTAGAAGTTGACTGGCAATAAATTTAGTCAAGGGAGTTGCAATGAAATTTTTCCTATAATGTACTTTTTAAAAATAATTTAGATTAATGGCATGAATCTTTTCCTTTAATGCAAAGGATTATGAGTTCAATCTCCACATATCCTAAAAAAAAGAAAGAATTTCATTTAAGAAACTGTGAAGAAAAAATTTTTTGGTAGGTCCCAAAAGATTTTAAAACCTCAATTCGATTATCAAGGATTAAATTAAAAATAAGTTGAATGTGAAGAAGATGAAAACACCCTTAATTCAAATATTAAAAAAAGAAAACCATCAACCACTATCACCAAAGCAACACCACCGGTGACTGAAACCTCGCTGGCCATAATAGCCACTAAAGCTCCAGGAATTGGTTGGACCATTGTCGATGGTGGCTAGAAAATTATGGAGAATTAATTTCTTGAAAGGTGGCCAAGGTGGGTGTAGAACCTAAGATCCCTTGATTCACCAAAAAAGTTTAGACCACCAAGTCACTCAATCCATTCAATCATATAATGCATAAAATTATATATATAATAAACCTTGTTTTCAAACCATTTGATTATTACATTACTTGTTAATCACGTAATTTAACTTATTAATATCTTAGTAAGACTTGTTAATTACTTAACTTTTATTGTTGACCTCATGACTCCTGTAACAGAACTAAATCACTTATTAATCGCATAACTATACTTGTTAATACCTTAACAGGACTTATTAATTACTTAACTCTCCTTATTAAGTCCGTGACTTCCACAACAGAGCTACATTACTTGTTAATCGCGTAACTATAGTTGTTAGTACATTAATAGGACTTGTTAATTATTTGAATTTACTTGTCAAATTCATAACTCTTTCAACTAAACTGCATTACTTATTAATTATGTAACTTTACTTATTAATCACGCAACAATACTTGTTAATTGCACAGCTTGACTTCTTAATTATGCAACTTTACTTGTTAATTCCGTGATTCTCTCAAAATTATTTGTATAATAAATCTTATTTTTAAATCTCTTAAGTATTATGACAAAAAGTATACTTGTTAAAAGCCTAATATAGCTTGTTAGTTCTTCAATTTTAATTGTTAATATTATATTTTTTTTAAGGTATTGCTCTCTCTCTCTCTCTATATATGTGTGTGTGCGCGCGCGCGCGCACGCTTATATAATTGAGTATCTAATTTAACGAATATTGATAAGGGAGACTCGACTGTCGTTGCTTTCATTATCTAACAAACTCAATTTTTTATGTAAATTATATATTCATTTAACAAGTGACAATAGATAATTAACAAGTATTGTTGAAGATTTAATAAGTAAAGTTATGCAATTAACAAGAAACTTAGTTGCTTTTTCAAAACAACAGTTAAACAAGTCTTGTTATGGTCTTAACAAGTCAAGCTATATAATTAACAAGTATTGTTGCATATTTAACAATTAAAGTTATATGATTAACAAGTAATGTAGTTTAGTTAAAGGAGTCATGAATTTGACAAGCAAATTCAAGTAATCAACAAATCTTGTTAAGATATTAACAATTACAGTTACATTATTAACAAGTAATGTAGCTTTGTTGTAAGAGTCATGGATTTAACAAAGAGAGTTAAATAATTGACAAGTCCTATTAATGTAATATCTCCCTCCTTCTAACCCATAATTAACTCCAATTCTCAAATAACATGTAACACCTTAAAATTTTCAAATTGATTTTTTGCAAATTATTAGTTCAATAAATCATTTTTACATCATCGAACCCCTATCATCTATCATAGTAGCAAAATTTCTACCATGATAATAAATAACTAAACTTCTTTTTAAAACTTTACTATGGTAGAAAAGAGTTTATCATATAAATAAAATATTTTACAAATAGCCTACCATAGTAGAAAGAATTTAACATAATGAATAAGCTCTACTATGATCATTGAAGATAAAATTGTACCTATTGGAAAGCAATGT